CACCATTCGGCAGCCGCATTTCCGAGCCACGTAGCGGGTCTCGCAGGCCAGGCGACACCCCATCAGGCTATAGGGAGGGCTGGGGCTGGGGCTGGGGGCACCTAGGGGATCCGAGGGTTCCTGCTCGAAGTCGGGTTCCAGAGATCTCGAAGTGCAATCTCCCCAGGGCGGTGGGAGGAAGCTCAGCTGTGGAGGGACAGGGTAGAGGAGGTTTGGGGGGAATGTCGGAGGTCCGAGTGAAGGGCCCTGGACGCTAGTGAAGAACTGCGGGATTCGGGTCTGAGGCGCAGGCGGGGTACCTGCTGCTGCTGACAGGACACGAAGGTCTGGTAGCCTGGGGCGGCCCCGAAGCCCAACTGGTCGATGACCGGCGGCTCCTCCTGGCTGTGGATCTGCACTCGGAACCCCGCCTCAAAAGGTGTCTCCTCTGAGGGTGAGGGGCCTTTGAGACGGAGACCCAGACCCCCACAGTGGGCAGCCCCCTCGACCCCAGCCCCTGATTGGGATTGAGCAGCTCTGTCCCTTCTAAGAAAGGGCATGCTTCCCAGACCTCCCCGGCCTCTCCTCCCTTTAGCCACCAGCATCCGTCTGTGCCCCAGGCTTACCTACCAGGGCCCTCCCATGAGCAGATCACCCCAAGTGTGAGGGGTGCGGCCTACCCAGAGCCACCCAGTGGGCAGACCCTGGCTCGCAGGCGCTCCTACCCGTGGCCTTCCACACGGGCAGGTACTCCTCCTGCTGCACGTCCAGCATGATCTCCAGCCCGTTGCCCACGCCTCCCTTGGGCGTGGTGAGCAGCTCGGCCCCGGGGGCACCGGAGTTAAATGTGTAGCACTGCCCCATCCGGGTGAAGATCTGTGTGGGCAGACAGTGTGGCCAGCCTCCGCCCCAGGCCAGCCCCAGTGCATGGAACCACGCCCTTCCCTGCTCCGTGTCTCTTCCTTGACACTGAAGCCATCTCTCAGTGCCCCCCGCCATGCAGGCACATGTAGTTGGACCCTCTTGGGGGCACCACTCTGACCTCTCCCTCCTATACCCCTCCCTGCAAAGCCTAGGGCATGGCTACAGGGCAATTGTTTCTCTGGAATTCGGGTAGAAGGGGGCCCAGGTGCCCTCCCCGTGCTGGCAGGTTGACGAGGCAGAGGCGAAACAAGCCCCCTCCTCCTGGCAGAGAGAAGGATCTTCTGCCCCACAACAGTCGCTCTAGAGAGTCTCCCCAGAGCCCCATGAGCAAGGTCTCCACAGACCAGTCCTTTAACCTGGGGGCACCCAGCGAGCCGGCAAGGCCTGGCACCCTGCCGTCAGCTGGAGGACAGGGGGAAGCCCAAGGAGGATGGTTGCTGGACTGACCGGAATGGCACCGGTGGGATGGGGAGCCCCTGGCTGTGGGAAGGAAGAGACCCTGGGCAGGGGGATTCCCTGGCTCTGAGGGAGCCTGGGCTAGCAAGGCCAGGAGTGGGTTCTGGGCAGGGACTGGATGGCCTTGTGGTTCCCTGGGCAGGATGAGCGGGTGGCCAGCTCACCGCGGTGAAGTTCTCGGGCCCACAGGCTTGGCCGCGGTAGCGGCAGTCCAGCAGCATGGCATCCAGGCTGTGCCCGGCCCGGGCGTAGAGCTGTGCCATGTCGAAGGTGGGGCTGGGCATGAAGCCGGCTGGTGCGGGGGGCTGGCCCAAGGCGCGCAGGAAGGCGGCGTGCTCGGCAGGGTCCAGGCCCAGCAGCGTGGGCCCCGCCCAGTGCAGGTCGTTGGGCGTGAGGCGTGAGCGGCGCAGCGGGTTGATGTTGCACAGGGTGACGGCCGGGAAGGTGAGCCGGTGGCTCTCGCGCTCGTCCAGGGCTGTCTCGTAGTGGAACTCCCCGTAGTAGCGCACTCTCCCAGCCACCTGGTAGAGGAAGGCGGCCAACGACAGGAGCACGGCCACGGCCCACAGCCCCCGGCGCAGGGTCAGGCCCCCGGGCCCGAAGACGTGGCCCAGCCCGTGCAGCGTACAGCTGCTGGCGAAAGCGCGGATGTCCGAGGCTGGACGCCTGCCCTCCTCTGGGCCTGCGGGGGGCTTCATGGCCGGAGCCTGGGAAAGGAGGCGGACAGGACGGGACTGGGCACCAGCTCTTGGGGCTTGGAAGGGGTTGGAGACGGTTGGCTGGAGGCCCAGGAGGGTGCAGGCAGGATTCAGGTGGCCAGGCAGGGGTCACCTCAGATGAGATGAGGGGAGGGGAGGAGAGGAGCCAAGACAGGTCGGAGGCACTGGCCTGGCGGGCTGGAAGAGGTGGCCTGCTTTC